AAGCTTTTCATATCCATGTTCAGCATGTCAGACAGACGGATACCCCCAGCTGAGACAAATTACACATGGTCTTCCCCAGTCCCACGGGGAAGTCAAAGGAATCTGCAAGAGATTGGGAATGTTATTTATCTTGGCTAAAAGTCTGCCAGCAGGATTTCCGAATACTTGTCTTAAAATGATGGAAAAGAAGAGGTAGGTGAGCCACTGGCTTCAGTGAAGAGACCAGAGCACTACACTCACAGACTGCTTGCTGTCCTGGTGTGTGGTAAACTAACTCAGGTTCTCTAACTAGGAAAGAATTCTCACTAACTTTTCCTGGTTCCCCAGCTAATTGTGAGGATCTGTCAGGGCGGGGAGGGGGGCTTAGTCTGTCAGCCACAGAGGGTAAAGTCTTGTGAAATAACCCCAAAATATGGTCACCCCAAAGGGAGGCAGCATAACCAATGCATGAGATCTACTGTGTAAGCCCCAGGCAGATGCATGTAGAAACTGCTTGTGAATACCTCACCTTTCCTAATGGACCATCCCTTTACTTAGACTGTAAGATCTCTGAGGCAAGGGCTGTCTTGTTCTGTGTTTGTACAGCGCCTAGCGCAGTGGGGTTCATGACAGGGGCTCCTAGGCACTCCCACAGCACACATAAATAACACCAATAATGCCGACTAGATGGGACTTAATCAATTGGCAGTCATCATAACATTCTTCTAGGCAAGAGGAAATCTGGCTTATGCCAACTCTGCTCAGTCAGTAAAATATTACCTACAGCAGCACCGGTGAAGACTTTACAAGCTCACCGCGCCACTTCCGCAGTGCTCTCACGGAGAGGGAGAGAGGCAGATGTCCCAGGATCTACACTTTGGGTTTCTCACTTGGTTACACACTGTGCTATTATTGTGGCACTGAGGTCCTCCAAATATGCTGAGCGTTTTGTTTTGTTTCGTTTTGACAGACTATTAGCTACAGCATGTTCCTGCTCAAAACTGCAGTCCAGTGTCATTTCACATTCTGCACGATAGCTCAGGTTCCTCGCTCCCTATAGCTATGGCACTGGAAGTACCTGTTCAGATTAATTTACCTCTCCTTTTTCCACATTGTAATCCATTTAATTACATTGATTAATGCCAACTCAATTGCCTTTATGAAAAGACACTTCAAGCAAAGTCCTGCAATTATGTCCAGGAGATCCTAACTCAACATACCCAAGGAAACGCCACTATTAAAAAGCTTCAACTGGCCCTTTCAAGATTTCTGTTTTAAAACCTATTAAACAAACAAACCAACCCGACTGTGACAAGCCAGAAAGTTCGAACGCAGATTATGAGTCAGTACATATTTACAAGGCAAAACCCATGGTCCGACTGCCCTCTAGTGGATTTCATGAAGCATAACGTGGCCCACATTTAGCTGCTTTTAATACTTCAAAACATGGTGCATTATTCATATCTATAAGTCAAAGTGCGTCCCTAAAGCTGACAGCTACAATATCATTAGGGTTACCAAAGGACCCATAGCAGTTTGCAAAATATTCAAACAGAAAAGGTTTCAGTCATAACTTAAACGCTGTTATGTGTTGAAAGTCTCTTACTGAGTCTTGGGAGAGAATGCACAGCAAGATTTTAACTGAAAACTCTAGAGGGAGCATGACAAAATACGTTCAAATTAAATGCATTCAGCAGAGTCAGGCTCTATAGGCACAGTCTATGTATTTCTATGATAAGGTATAAACAGATGAATCTGCTAGACTATATTCTCATGATATTTCAGCCTCCGTTTCAAGTAGCAGACTCCTGTATTGTGATGTGTGAAAGAGCAATGATTTGACACCCCCTCTCCCACACTTAGTGGGACAGTGGCAATGCTGCAGGTGTGGCTGTGCTGTTCCCAAGGAGAGATTAACCTCTAGCGTTAGTTCAATGGGAGACAGTGTTTCAAAGTGTACGTGCTACGAACACACTTGGATCCCCAATCAAAGTTCAACAGGAGGCCGCTCTGAACCCCTGCTCATATCAACAGGTTCCAAAGCATGAAAATGTCATTCTGTTTTGAACAGAATCTCCAGAGGATAGAGAAGAAAAACAACTCTCCAGGAGGTCTCCACGCCATAGGGCTAGGAGAGATTCTCAAATCCAGGCATGTTCTTACTTTACTTGGCAGCTGTGTAATAAACTGCACAGTCTCCTCTGCATCCACCTGGAGACTTGAAATGGGCTCCCTATTACATACTACACATGCCTCTGTTTCCAGGGGAGGCTGGCCACCACCTGGAGGCTGGCCACCACCTGACAAGAACTGGCCACCCTACAGGCACTAACGAGTTAAAGATGAGACTTTATGCAGCAAAACATTTACTAACAGATGACGTTTTCTGGCAGTTCCTCAAATACAGATAGTCGTATAGACTTCAGTAACAACACCACATTAATAAGGTAATAAACTCACACACTGATGTTTAAACAGGCAGTTAAGTTGAGAGCAATCTGGTTAGCACACCCATAGATAAATTGAAAAAGATTAAAAACAGCAGAGGGGGGAATGGCTTTCAATGAGTCGTTCATTTTTTATAGTACCTCCCACGGTGAAACTATCAATTACATCATTCCATATAAAGAGATGCTGCATAAATGGGCACATTCATTTTGCCTGATTTTGAACCCAGTCCAGTTCAACTCAAACTCTAGCATATTGGGTTTGTTTCCTGCTGAGGAAAAGAAGGGCAGTGGGAGAAAAAAATATCTTGGAGGGGCCAGGGTTCAAAAGCACTCAGCTTGGACCTAACTCTCAGTGAAGTCAAAGGCAATTTTACCGCCATCTCCAATAGGAGCAACTGGGCTGAATGATTTGGAAAATATCACCCTTCAGTATATTTTAGCTGCACACCTGAACACACAGTATACATAGGGTACCACTTCTGCCAGACTAACTTTTGTTCCCAATGCACAGCAAAGCCTTCCCTTTATCTAGGAAAAGGTTGGATTTCTTTCCTTCCTTTTTAAATTGAATCATGCTTGTGGGAAAACTGCTGTGTTTAACTGACAGGAAAAGAGGGTTCACAGACCTGACCTAGTTTTGCAAACGTGATGAAAAATATAGTCAGCGAGGTTTCCCAAAGTTTTGAATTCCACAAGTTTCCTCCAACCCTACTAAATGACATGTTTTTTTTCTCAGCTAGATCCTAGAATAAAATACACTGGCATCACAGGTACATGCTGATTAAATAAGTGGTGTTTTCACATTTTATAAAGGACAATTAAATGAGGTTATTTATTCAGCCTATATCAATGACTCAAACCATCCGGAGGGTCTAGGGGTTAAAGAAATAAACCACGGCATTATACAGGAATGGTACATTTCAGGTGGTTGTTGGAGGCCACTCCATGAGGCTATAGGGGTTCACATCTCCAAAGCCCATGACGGTCTGAAGATACTGGAGATGAAAACTTTATTGCAGAGACTTCCTGCCTTGCAAATACCTTCTCCCAGGTTCAACAGGAAACAGTCCCTAGTAGCCCACATTCACAAAAACCTCATGCTATTGATAAGCTGGTTATTCCCCTGGGACCGACAGGTCACAGTGCATGAGCCCATGCATAGATGCTTAGTGGGAGGTTTTAGTACTTTGCACAATAAAAGCACCTCTCATTGAAGGCTCTCCAAGCACTTTACAAACATCAGTGAATTAGCCACATCATTCCCCTGGAAGGAAGGATGGAATCATTATCCCCGATTTTAAGATGGAGAATTGAGGTACAGAGAGGAAGTGATTTACCCGAAGGTAGTGTCACATCTGGGACTAGAACTTGGGAACGGTCAACACACGCTCAGGTCCTTTGCACAGTTGTGGTCAGGCCTCGTGCTTGTTGATCTGGTACAGAGACTTTGCCCAAACTTCTCCTCACCAGGCACGATCTAGGCAGGAAAGATTTGGTCCTTTGTCTCTGTACCTCACCCCTTTTGACACAACATAGGAATGTGCCATACCAGATGATTCCAATGGTCCACCTGGTCCAGTATCCTGCCTTGACAGTAGCCAGATCAGACACTTCAGAGACCCAGGTGACATATCCTGGAATAACCTGCCCATTGGAGTTGTTGTTCCCTAATCCCCATCAGGCAGTGGTTGTTTTATACCTTGAAGCATGTGGGGTTGTACCCTGTCTACATATTTTATCCTACTGTGGATGTTCATATTGTCCATTAAAATGTCCAGTCCTGTTTTAAATCCTCCAAAGCTCTTGGCCTCAATGATATCTTGTAGCAGTGAGTTCCACAAGCCAGTTATGTGTTAAGTAAAAAGTGTTTCCTTTTCTCTCCACCCCAGGGCCTTGCACAGCTCTTGTTCCAGGTAATGGGTAGCAGTGAAACAACTCCTCCACTGTCCTGGGCACTCACAGACAATATGTTGCCAAGTTCTATGCTGTCACAGTTGAATTTTGCAAGCTTAAAAGCAGCATAGGAAGTGAGAATCCCACTAACCAATTCAAATTAAAATAAACTTCAGTCACTACTGTAGCTGGTGCATTCAATGCAGGGCCGACGCTTCCACTAGGCGACCCTAGGTGGTCGCCTAGGGCGGCAGGATGTGGGGGGCAGCATTTCGCCACCCTCGGCGGAATTTCAGCGGCGATTCCTCTGGGCGGGAACAAAAGCGGCCACGTAAACGCCGCCGAGAAACAGGGCCGCCCAGAGGGGCTTCTTCCGCTGCGGGTCTTCAGCGGAAATTCGGCAGCGGGTCCTTCACTCACTCCGGGACATGCCGCCAAAGTGCCCCGAAGACCCAGAGCAGAAGGACCCCCGCCACCGAGAACGCAGCTTCAGAGGAGGAGCTGCCGCCGATTACTGAGGAGGAGCGCTGCCGCCTAGGGCGGCAAAAACCCTGGCGCCGCTCCTGATTCAATGCCTTCTGTATTGTTCAGTGTTTTTTTGTTTGTTTTTTTTTCTTTTGAGCCGAGATTGAAGCCAAGCAATGCGCTTTACAAGTTACCAATCTGGAAAATACTCACTCAGAGATGGTGTGGACGGCTTCGCTGAGTGGAGGAGCTCTGCTCTGCTGTTACTTAAGGAATCTGCAGAAGTCCCGAGATGTTCCTCTGAATTGGTGGAAAACTGGAACTGGACCGTGCCAGACTCAACCTGCTTCACCTGAATTTAAACAGATGTAGAAAAAAATGAGATCTGTGCACACCCTTTTTACCCGCTCTCTGGAACAAAAAGAGTTGTTCTGCCAGGCAGCCAACAAAGTTAGAATAAGAAATTGTAACGCAGGGCATATGGAGGCAGAACTATCAACAGATTATTTTTTTTAAACGGGGTTCCTAGAAAGCTTTGGTTCTGTCTGAAAGTTATTTTCCTTGAGGCACGAGGGTTGTGGAATGACACTAAACTCCAAAATTATCATCAAATTTTCCTCCAAATCTCAGGTAGGATGGATTAATACCAGAACTGTAACTCTGATTCTACAAACTGGAGTTACTGGAAGAAAGAAAATTATCTTCTATATAAGGAGGTTTATGTTACAGTTTGTTAGTTCAGTTACAGCATCACAATGGGGTTTGTGGGCTTTTTTGCACACATTGGTCTGTTCATAAACGTGTCCACCAGATCGAGAGTGAACTTTGGCTTTCCACTAGCAGACCAGCACTAGGAAAGAACTCTAGCAAATAGGTTTGGATAAAAACAGAAGGAAGCAACATCTTGGCAAGTGTTTTGGGGGAACAAATTCATTAATCTACAGCATGATTCCCCAAACAGTCCTGGACATCAGTGCAGTCACCAAAAAGGAGCAGAGGTTCCCTCATTACTGCATTAGATGGAAAACCCTTTGGACCCCAAGAAGGCATGGCTGCACATTTCCATGTGATTCTGCTAACTAGACTCTACTACTGCTGTGTTCTTGTATTAAAAGCAGATCAAAATCTTCCGTAGCTAAAACTCCCTTTTAGAGAAACCCTTTCTAAATGTAAAATAGCCTTCAAATATCCTTTTCAGCAATTAGAATGAGTCTCTTCTAGCTCAGGAGACAAAAGGAAGGGGAGATTGCTCTCTTTCGTGAATCTTTCCACCAGCCAATAATGAAATACACTCAACCTCCAGCTGTAATAGATTCATTTTTATCAGGAACCAGGCACCAAATTCCTGAAGCACACAATCCCATTCCAGGCATTTCCTTCCAAGGCCCCCACTGTGTTGGCTAATTTCAATTCTTTTCTCCCTTTCTATTTTGCCTGAACAGTTCTGCCTGTGCTGCACAGCATACAACATTCATTCTTTATTCGTTTTATTTTGTTAAACTGGAGCAGCCTCTACTATGGATTTACATGCTGTCATTGAGATCAGAATCTGGTTCCTAATCTCTCAAACTGCCAAGGCTCAAATGCAGGAGAAAGACTTAAAATGAGAGATGTGAGGGGGGGATAAAAAAGCTTGACTCATAGGACTAAGTAATTTCTTTAGCACCTTCTGCCTTCTCAATGAGGTTCATATCTCCAAGAGTTGCCGCCAGATTATGGTTAAAACTATAAAATCATCTAGGAACAGTATATTTGTCAAAAGCTTGCACCCTTTCCCAATTCCTATGAGATGCAGATGAACAAATTTTCATTGAGGCTTCCCAGTTAGAGCCAGAAAAAGTCTTGGGAAAAGACTGTACGTGTAACGGAATGGACGAGCAAAGCCACTCAACAATGTTTGCAAACTCTCCTTGCCCCCACCCTGTGTGTGAAGTTTAACAAAGTTTAAGCAACAGGCACATATCTTCACTCTCTATGCTATCAACAGTTAGGATCGAGAATAGACTCCAGGGTTATGGCTTTTCCCCATTAGTGTGTGAATGTGAAGGACCCAGTTTAGTGTTATAATGGAATTCTGTACAGAAAGCATCTTTCTCAGAGATGGATGCTTGTTCTGCATCACTAACCACAGACCCTTACTAAGCCACCCAAACATTGGTGGTTTCCCTTTGGCCTCTCTAATATTAAAGGACAGCTCCAAGGGAAGTGAAGGTTCATATCGAGCAAACAGTCTTTGCTCTGAAGAGCTTACAGTTACGTGCTATTTTTACATACATCACCTAGCACAAAAATGGCCCCAAGCCTGATTGGGGCCTCCAAACACTGTCAAAATAAATAATTTTACAAAATATATGACAGTGCACTTGGCATGAATGTCATATAAATAATGAACACCAAACAGCTGATAAAATAAATGCACAATGTGTATTTTCTGATGCATTATCCTTCCTTCTTTTCCCATGTGTGTTCGCTCAATGGCTGGTTTGCATTGGGTTTGGGCTACTTAGCAAGATTATTGAACGAAGCGTTTAAAATAACAAGAAAGCTCTGTGCCATGTGTGTACTGAAAACAGGGTGGTTTTGATGCACCCTTGCTAAAGGAGAGCTCAGAGGAGCTTCTTTTTACCTCTTCGGAGCTCATACTGGTGGGCGGCATCTTGTAAACTAACACATGGCTGGGGTTCTGCTGGGCGCCTCCTTGAAGTGGTAAGATCACTTCCGTGGAACTCGAGTCCAGCAAAGGATTCCAAACAGTCCATCGGATGGAATGCATATAGGCTGCTTTAGTCAAAGAGGAAATGGACAATGCCTAGGATTAAAAATATATATGAGAGTAAATAACCAGAGATGAAGAACATTTGGTATTGTGCCATGACTCTATCTCTGGGTCACGCTAGACTGCTGTTATCCAACCCAAAATCAAATAGGATCAAACCAAACAGTAGCCATTTTCTGCCTACTGAATGGTAACAATCATCTGTCTTTAGTCATCTTTCGTTGGAACCTCATCACCTCTAGGCAGAGTGACAGGCAAGTTCTCTGCAGCCTTTTCCTTATAAAAGAAAGATCAGGTTTCTGTTTGTTTGGCTTTCAACCATCATCAATATTCAGAATGAACAGTGCATCGCATCATAAGTTTTGACCTAGAATGAACACAGATGCATATACATTTCTGCACAACCCATGAACATTAGAAAAGAAATTAGCCTCTCGTCTCACTGCAGTTGCAAATATTTGCAAATACTCCACATGATTAGGCCTATGTTGGTTACTAATTTACACACACAATTATTGTTATTGAAGAGACTGCCATTGCATATCTGAAAAATCCTAAATCTCTGCATGTGAAGGCTGCGTGTTCCTAGGATACAGGAGGGAAGCTATATTTACTGAGAGGCGAGATGCCATATTCTCCCATCTACCAACACAGAAGGGTAATTTTTCCAGCTGAACAATAATAAATAGGAGGGACGCAATAAAGGACTGTGAACAGCAGTGCTCCAATATTAGTGCAATATAGAGAAAATGAATACCATCCACTACCTCAGGATTCTTCCCTTCAGTTACGTATTTCCCCTTGTGACCTCAATATTGTAGCCATAACTTCCATTGTTTCAACACAATTTTGAGATGTACTATTTGAAGCATGTTATCTGTCTTTCCAGGCCCACATTTTGCTCATAATGTAAAAAATTCTCTTCAAATCCACGAATTTGCAGGTTGTTAAAAAAGTACCAATATTAGCTTTCTGTGTTACAAGGAGCTGTTGAGCCCTCATGGAGAACTTGGAATAGCTTGCTACAACTGTGCTTAGATTTAGCACCAGTTTTTGGTTGTCTCATCTACATACTTTGTCACTGGGAACAGCTGCATGAACAGAATCAGCTGTCTGAGGCCACGTATCATCTCAGAGGCATGGCTGGAGTCCTAGTTCCCTCCTTTAACCGTTGGACCACATTTATCTGTAGAATGTTCTATTTTACACGTACACATCCAGTTTATCCACAACGCAAGTGTAACAAACCTCTGCCATGTGTGCTGCTGATACAACATTTCCTGGCAATCAGGCTGTGTGATAACTGCACTTCATACCTTTGTGACATAACCAAACAGCCTTTCCTCCTCTACTTTTGGATTAACAGCATGCAACATTTTCCACACCAAGCGCTCAAAAATGACAGCCCCATTTCTCCTGCACTACAACTATCTGGCCAAATTTCAATCCAGAGCCAACATAAACTTTGCCTAGCAGGGTTTACAACGTGAGTGCTAGCACTAACCCTGCTGAGGGATTATCATCATTGCCATAATCACTGGGACTGTGTTCCCCACGATGACATACTGCCTGTACGGATGCGGTGATTTGTTTTCTGCTGCAAGGACCAGTGAGACCATTAAACATAATTTTAATTCCCGCATTGACATAGCAGTATAAGTAGTATACGTCTGGACCTGGTCCTCCAAGATGGGAAATGTATTCTAAAAAGAAGCTAAAGGGTTCCACTCAGACAATCACTTTAAAAGCCTCCCCTTAAAATCAGGCATTATAGAAGGGTCTGTACAAAAACAAGCTTACAGGTCTGTCAGTGATTGAAATCCCTCTTGTAGCTCCCTGCAAAGTGCTGATCGTGGCACAGAAGACGCTGTGATTAGCGTGGCAATCAGCTTTGGGATTAACCGCTTTGCATAAAGGGAGTGCAGAGGTTAATTGGGTTCACTCTGAAGCCATTGATGGCCTGGCTTGACGGTTCCCATCGGTGCAGTTTACGGCACACCGGCATGTCAGATGGATGCTAATCCCGTCTCAGACTCGGTAACCCTTTAGGAATGTGAAAGTCACAGACAGCCGCTCTGAGGGCGGCCGAGGATACGGGGTTGCCCACGTAGCATTTGTGTGCTAAATGAGTTGACACTCCAGGCTGAATTATATGTGTCAATTTCATAGGCAAGGACAACGGCGCGGCCAGCATCCCGGTGCATCACGCAGGAGAGAAGGAGAGAGGGCGATGTAGGCAGGGAAGCAGCCTCTTCGGTACAGCATTTGCTGCAGTGGTAGCTGAAAGGAGGGGCATTGCCATGGGCATGCCAAAGGGATTCAGAATCGTTTAAAAGCACCCGCATTGGCCCAACTTTTCACCTATAGGAGTTTTACCCATTCTTAGGCTAGTGCTAAAATCCCACCCTTCTTCTTTTCTTTTTTGATTTGAAGCACATGCAGCAATGCCCACTTCCCATCAGCCTCATTCTGAATGTAATACCCCATTGGAGGCATGCAGCTTAAACGTCTCCCCAGTGCTGCCTGATAACTCTTTAGGGAAGGGGTTTCCTCATTCTGTGCCTAGTGTAGAGCCCAGGACAATGTCAGCACTTACATAATGACAACAAGGACAGAGAGACTTCGAAGAAGTTTGCAGAGACTCCATTTTTCGACTGGGTTTATTCTGCCAGCAACAAAATCTATGAACTGGGCAGGAAGTTGCAATGAATGACCCTTCTCGAACAGTCACAGGAGAGTGGAGACTGTAGCTGAAGACCTGTTATTTACCAGCATCCTCACAGACTGCAAGCTTCAGGCACGATACAGAGCAGCATTTGTAGGTGTGTTTATAAATCTCTGTTGGTTGCACAAGGCAACAGGGAATGGAACTAGGAGCATTTCACCTCAAAGTCGGCCCACGTCAGCAGTGAGCAGTCAGCCAACATTGGGTGGGTAAGGAGACAAAGCTTTCTCAGCAGCCAGAAGGTATCATAACCACACACCTCAGGGCCCTCAGGACTAGATCTGAGACCAGCTTCCTTGAGCCACCCAGTCTGGCCAAAATATTTAAAGGCTACATTAAAAAAATCTCCATCTGAGAGGTGAGAAGAGAAATGCAGAGATTCTGAGCTCTCTGGGAGTATCAGTTTGGAATTGATGTAGGTGCTGAGTTCCTGGGGATGAGCCTGGTGAATGTCTCAGGATGGAGAGACGCAGATATGACTGAGGCCCAGGTCCTATTGTACAAGGGACCATATCACTAAAACTACTGTAAACTACTAGCAGCCTCGGCTGAGGGCATGCACTGACTGAGCCCTGGAGGCTAAACTGATCTCTTAGCAGTGCTCCTTCCAGGGCAGCTTTAAAGCACATTCGTAAGGAGACAATGTGGGACAAGCAAGCGGCTCCCGCTGCTTGTGCTGTACCCGTTCCATGGCTAAGCAGACGACTTCAGCCTACCAAGCTCTCAGTCCCCGGGACCTTCTTCCAGAATTAAATACACTTTGATTCTTTCTTTTTTTTAAAAGTACACCTAGAACTGGACTTTTGCTCGAATACATTTAAGTTTCTTATCGCTGTACAAAAATAAATAAATAAAAATCTGCATTCCAATACCCAGACCTCTGCAGGTTCTTGGGTTTTAACTTTTTAAATTTGTTGAAGCCAATATCTAATTTTCCAATTGTATGGTTCCCTTCAGCTTGTCTTCTCCCAATCAATACAAATCCCATCTGCCAGTAGGGCATGTGTCACTTATATAAATATCCATTTCCCCCCAGTTTTCCTTTGGACAGCTCTAACGAGAGACGACATTTACTGCATTGTCAATGACCCTCTCACAGTCCTCTTAGCAGGACAATTAGGGACTCATAACAAATCAATTGCTATTGATTAAGCTGCACATTCGTACTACAAACTAATGGCTGGAATAGTAAAGGATCCTTGTAGGTGACAGCCTGCACAACACGTGCTAGAAAATTCCCCAGCCCTAGACAGAGAGACGGGCAAGCCATGTACACGGAACAGGGCAAGAGGGCCAATTTATCAGTCCACCAGGATGAGACTCCCCTGCTGTCTGCCTCAGGCAGTGCTTGCAAAACAGACCATTTTAAAATCCCTTGTCTCCCTGAATTCGATCATCTTTAGCCAAGTCATTAGGGTCTCAATTTACTAAAATAACGCAAAAACGGCTCATCCAGACAGTGCTGGCTCACACAGCTGAATAATTGTAATGCAAATCTATGTGTTCTCACTCTAACTATACGCTAGCAATGCAAAGCACTGAATGATTCTGGCCATTTTAGCAATACTTTGTGGCTCCCTTCTATTAAAGCATTAGACGCAACTGTTACAGGAGGTTGCACTTGTAACAGAGAATCTTGCATTAGTGAGCTTTTCTGTATGGCAAAAATACAAAAGCTACACTCTTCACCCAAGAAGCGAAAATGTTCTTATTTTGGATTTAGATACTATAAATATAACCTACTTTAAGCCAAACCTGCCCCCTTTTTGTGATAAAAGCATTAGACGGTTTTTAATTCCAAAGATGGACTCATTTATTATTTTACATATTTACGTATATTAAATATGAACTCATCATGGGTCCTAATTACACACAAACAATATTATTAAAATCCGTTCACACTGAACCGACGTCCAAAACCTAAAGGCTTCCTAAGCCCTCTTCCACTCTCCATGAAGCTCAAATTGTCCCACCACAGCCTGAGTCCCAACTACTCAAACCCTCCAGGTTCAAGACCACTGGGATAAAATGGAAGACTGCAGTAAACAAACCTATCCTGGTGTCCATACCTTGCTGAGAGCTCTCACAGGGATAGCCTAGACCTTTATTCCAATGTGTGGCTGTTAAGAGACAGCATCCAGGCACAGCAACCAGCACAGGTGATGAAGACAAAGCTGAAGGCATTCCTAAGGGAGATTCCTATCTTTAATGGAGGATACATTTATATAGCATTAACTGGACTTATCCTACCTGGTATTTCAAGGAGTGAAAACTACCCTCTACGCAGGGAAGAACATAGTTGCAACAT